GATGGAGAAATTATGGGTGGCTTTGGAATTCTATTTTATAATTTTTCTTCTGTATTTTCCACTTAGCTATAATGAGCATGTGTGATTTTTTAAATTAGAAAAGTGTCCTTTAAAAAATCCAATGTGGCTGCTCAGGGAACTGTCCAATAAGGTGTATCTTAAAATGACATTTAGAATATTAGAAGGTAAAAGTTCTTTAGTAGGAACAGTTTTTTAAAAACTAAGCTGCAAAATAAGCCGAAGGTTGCCAATACTAAGGATAACATAAATATTATTTTAACTATTTGGGAGAGAAAATTAAAGAAAGGCTAAGATGATTGCTTGGAGTCAGTAGTGTTGTTGTTAGGTGCTGTTGAGTCAGTTCCAACTCATAGCAACCCTATGTACAACAGAACAAAACACTGCCCAGTCCTGCACTATCCTCACAATTATTGCTATGTTTGAGCCCATTGTTGCAGCCACTGTGTCAATCCATCTCCTTGAAGGTCTTCCTCTTTTTTGCTGACCCTTTACTTTACCAAGTATGATGTCCTTCATGCTGTCAGTAGTGTAATGTGGGGTGATTTTGCTTGTCACTGGCTGTCAAGAAAGACAGACTGAAAAAGGTAGCAATCTAAGAAGGAATGGGAACTAAAGATTGGAAAAAGAATCTGTAAAGCACCACCTAATTAGAAGAGCTAGAGTGGTGATTTTGTTTTTTTTACTTCTTCTTTCCACTTTGCTAATTTTCCAGGCTTCATAAATTTAGAAGTACTATTTTTATAATGGAAAATATAAAAGCCATTTATATTATTTAAAAAATGAAATAAGGTTATTATTATGAATAAACTGGCTACAATTTATTGAGTTAGTAAACTGTCCCAGATGTATGCAATGATCTTATAAGACAGATTTTAAGCCAGTGAACCACTCAACAAAGAAAAGGTATTATGGACTGAATTGTGCCCCTCAAAAATACGTGTTGCAATCCTCACCCCTATACCTGTAGATGGAATCCCATTTGGGAATTGGGTTTTCTTTGTTCTGTTGATGAGGCCACATTCCTGTACAGCAGTATTTTAACCCATTTCCATTGAGTCGATTCCAACTCATAGTGACCCTATCTAGAGGACAGAGTAGAACTATTGCCCTGTTGGGTTTCCGAGAGCGGCTAGTGGATTTGAACTGTCGATCTTTTGGTTAGCAGCTAAGTGGTATTTCTGTTACAAGTAATAAGAAACTAAGATATAACGTATTCTGTCTGGTTTCTAAAGTTTATTAACAGTATTAGGTGCTACAGACTGAGAATGAGAAGTTGAACCTTGAACCTTACCTTTACCTCCATTGCTTGAAAGTAGGTTGGGAGGTGAGCTGATGATGTACAAGAAAGAAGCAAATGATTTGCTATTGAAACAAAGACCGTTTCACTTCTCAGACTTTGATGTATGTATGTACACATCAATGTGTACACATCATCCGGGGATGTTATTAAATTCCAGATTCTAGTTCAGTAGGTCTGTGGAGGAGCTCAAAATTCTTCATTTCTAACAGTCTCAGGTGTTGCCAGTGTTGCCGGGTTGTGGACCACACTTTGAGAAGCAGGAGGCTAGAGGACCCCCTAGATAAGGGAGCCCCAAAACTCTCATTTCACAGGAGGGAGTTTCTTCCTCTAATTCATCTTTCCACGTCTGTGTCTTTTCACCTTTCTCGTCTGTCCAAAAGGAAATAACGGATCCAATGCGCATCATGAATTATTGTCGTCAAGACACTACACTGAACTGGGAACAGTCTTGGGGAATTCTGAGTCTCAGAGCCCGCGTGAGTGCAGAAGCATCATTTCTCTCTGCAGTAAACATTGGCTACATCTTCACTGAGGCCCATGAGGCTCTCTTCGTGGAAGAGAAAGAGGTGTAACATTCTTCATCCCAGAAGAGTAGAAAGATTAGGAAGGCTTTGGCTGTCACACTGCGCATTCCCCTCCAAGTGCTCCCTCAGCAGAATCTGTGACAGATGAGAGAGGGAGTCATCCTTTGGGGGAATTTGTGGAGAAGACTCATCCAGCATATGAACCTTGGGAGCTCTGTGCCCAAGAAAAGAAACGATAGCAAATTCAGCAATGAAATCAGGAAGCAATAACCCTGGGATGGGGTTATTTGGGCTCTCAGAAGACCCTTCCAAAAAAGGCTTTCAACTGGCTCTACCCCTAATCCTACTATCAGCACAGGGCTGGAGACAGCGGCCTGGGAGAAGACTCAGCAAGCTGGCCTCAGAAGCCAGGATTGGTTAAGAGGGTGACTATCAGTCCAGAAGGAGAGAGAAGCCAGGACCTCCCTGGGTTGTGAAGTCCTCAGAATTCTGAGGGTGTACACACTGTTTTTTAGGAAACAAAAACAGAACACAGGGGAGAACAAGAGTAAGATCTCTTTCTGGAATTCAATTGTGACTTTCCAAGGATATAGCCACTCTTTCTCTGGAGGGGCTGCCTGATTTCTTCTTACCAAAGTAAAATTGGAAAATAAAACAAAAACATCTATGGAGGAAGAATGGTGGTTATAATACCCTACTTTCCAATCCTATTCCAAGTTATATCTGTGTTTCATTAAAGCAAAAAAAGATTGCCAACTTGGAGAGGCTGTAGTCCTAGATATGGAAGGCAATAGTGTTCAGTGGTAGAATTTGCCCCTTCCATGCAGGAGACCCAGGTTTGATTCCTGGCCAATGCACCTCATGTGCACCCACCACTGCTTGTCTGTTGCTATAATGCTGAATACGTTTCAGTGGTGCTTCCAGACTAAGACAGACTAGGAAGAAAGGCCTGGTGATCTACGTCCAGAAATCAGCCAATGAAAACCCTATGGATCACAATGGTCTGATCTGTAATCAATCATGGAGATGGCACAGGACCGGGCAGCATTTTGTTTTGTTGTGCATGGGCCACCATGGGTTGGGGGCCAACTCGATGGCAGCTAACAACAACGTAGTCTTAGAGGTTTACGTGCAGGTCTAGCTGATAATGGAGGAAGGATAGATTATAGTTTGAGAGGAAGTCAGAAAAGTAGAGAAGTTAGGCTTATTTCTATGTGGAGACTGTACTAAGGGCATCTACAGATGCTTGGGTCTGTATAGGGTATTTCTGGGACTTGGAGTCCATCATGAGTAATGGTTGGTCCTGGCTGCCTTGAGAGAAAAGATCTTAGAAACTCTTGGACTGGAAAGGCCTATACTTAGGGCATTGGCTACTTGGCTATGGATATCTAATGCCTTGGGGTTGGTCTCTTTTCATTTCCTGTGGCTATCTGAGTGATGAGCCAACTGGAAGAGGGACCTTACCGAGGTGTGGAGAAAGAGGATGAAGTTAAGGCTGTATAGGCCTTGGGGAGAAAACCAGCATCTCAGAGGTGACTGAAGTCACCTCAGCTTCTGGGCCTTTGAGGAATCATGAGTTTACCAAGTCCATAACTTCCTAGTAAGTCAGAGTCAGTGCAGCATAGGGAATCAAAACGTGTACAGAGGTACCCACTACACGTTGCCATTTGCTATGCCCTCCTCTGCACACACATGAGGTCATCATGGGTCAGAATAACCATGAGTTGGAATCGACTAGATAGCAACAACCAGCAACAACAACAATCGCTAGTTACCAGCTACTGGAGATGAGTGGAGAGAGGAAAAAAAAGCCTGTCTTTGGACAAGATTCTGCATACTCCTGAGGATTATGAAAGAGAGCTCATAATACTCAGAAGCATGGCGAGAGGATCAGGCATTCTAAAGGATGAAAGTAATACAGTGGTTTTATGGATTTTTCCACTAACATGTATTTAACCAAGGACAAATTTATATTTTGTTTTGCCTATATTTACCTATAGAATATGCTCAACAAACTTTTAACAAATAATTTAATTAAATAACAGATTTTTTTTTTCAATTTTTAATTTTAATGCCCGGATTCCAGGATAAGATGTCACCTTGAAGTAGCAAGCAGTGGAAGTAAATAAGTATTTGTTGGAGTACGAGTTTCTCATTGACTGTCTACTGCACAGATTGCTTTATATGCACTTAATATAGTACTTTAAAAAAAGGCAAGAAAACTTTTAGACTAAGTCGCGTTATGCATTAAACAAAACAAAACAAAAAGAAAAAACACGTTGCTGTTAAGTCAATTTAGACTTGTAGCAACCCTACAGAACAGAGTAGAACTGCTCCCTGGGGTTCCTAAGGCTTTAAATCTTCACCGCCTACCCTTTGGTTAACAGCCAAGTACTTAACCACTGTGCCACCAGGGCACCTTCATTAGGCATTAAAACCGAAAAACTTAAACCTATTGCCGTGGAGACGAGAGCCAACTTCTGATCCTAGCTCTGCCACTTACAGGCTGTGTGACCTCTGAGCCACAGTGTTCTCGCCTATAAATGGTGATAATAGTAGGGATTCCTGGGAGGATTAAATGAGATAATTCATATAAAGGTATAAACCCAGGCCCTAACACGTAGTAAGTGCTTAATAAATATGATAATAATCACAGAAAGAAGAACAACAATAAAACAGATAATAGCATTAACAATGGCTGTGTTCAGATTCTCCAAAGCAGAACTCCCTTGAGCTAGGAAAGCCAGAACCAGAAATGAGTCCCAATAGGTCTACCTGTTAGAAAAGACCTCCAGGCTCAGACGCGGCTAAAACTACATTTCCCAGCAGGCCATGGGCCCCAGTGACTTGTTTTCTCTCACTTCCGAGTCTGTCATGTGACTCCCCGGCTGCACCATGGCGGAAGCAGAGGAGCAGGTAAAGTCTACAACTACTAGTTCAAGGCAACAGGGAAGGGGCGACGAGGGTGAGGTGGTTGGGGGCTTGGACCATTGCGTGTAAAGATGCAGAGCTGCTGGAGAGCGAGGCAGGCCCACGTTGGGGCGGGGCGGCGAAAGTTCATTTCGGGCATCGGAGAGGCAGGGTAGGATCCCGGCTTCTGGGAGGGCATCGGGGAAAGCACACCGACACACCCCCGGCGTTCGTGGGCGACGTTTCCATTGGCGCAGTCTCTGTGGCCTGTGCTCAGTGAGATTTTGGTGTGAAAGCAGGTTGGGCCGCGCCAGAGACTGACTTGACTGCCAGTGAGAGAGAGGTATAAGAGATGAGTTTTGAGTCTAGGTGACTGAAATTTAAGTTGCTCTCCACTCTAAGTAGGACAGGAAGAGCTGATCTGCAGGGCGCAAGGAGAGTAGATGATGAATTCTGTTCTGTATCTGGATTTAAGCACAAAGGTAAATCACTACTGGGGTGCAGCAGTGCGTTAGTTCTGCAGCAGAAATGCCTAAGTTCATTGCTGGTTCCCTTTCTTATATGTGACTTTGGGCTAGTTATTTAACTCTTAAATATAGACTAGAGATAATAATAGTACGTCCTCAGAGGGTGATTTAAGGTCGAATGAGTTAATTCAAGTGTAGTTGAAGTGCTTAGAACTGTTGGGCTTAATAAAAGTTAGATGGGATGATTTGTTGCTGGCAAGACATCAGATGTCAATGCTCAGCCAACAACTGGCAGTGTGGCACTAGAGTTGGGGAGAGAAATTAGTGATGGGAATATGAAATATTTTTATATAGGTGACAGTGGTAGCCACAGATTAGATTAAATGACCAAGTAAAATTAAAATGAAGAAGACAAAAAAGAAGCAGACCAAGGCCAGAGCGTGGGGAAATACCTTACATTTTCATTTCCAGTGTCATTTCAGTTTGGCACTGTTCTTCCTCACAAATTAACAGCATTGTCAGTTGCCATAATTTCCTCTACAAAGTGATGGTTAGCTGTTTGGTATCATAATAAGAGAAGTTGACCTAGTTCAATAATTTAATTTGTACTGTTTGCAACATATTTCGTTTAAATAATGAAACTTTGCCTAATATATGGATCCCTGGTGATGCAGTGGTTACAGTGAGCGACTGCTAACCGAAAGGTTGGCGGTTCAAACCATCAGTGGCTCCTAGGGAGAAAGATGTGGCAGTCTGCTTCTGAAGAGATTTACAGCCTTGGAAACCCTGTGGGGTCGCTATGAGTCGGAATCGACTAGACAGCAGTGGGTTTGGGTTGCCTAATATGCATTTTATATGTGCCAATAATTAAGGCATTTGATAGAAATTTGGCTTGGTTGGTCATTGTGAAAAGATCCCTGGTGGTGTAGTGGTTAAGCTCTCGGCTGCTCATCAAAAGGTCGGTGGTTCGACTCACCAGCTGCTCCACAGGAGAAGGTTGTGTCAGTGTGCTTTTGTAAAAATTGTAGCCTTGGAAACCCTGTGGGGCAGTTCTACTCTGTCCTATAGGGTTATTATGAGTTGCAGTCAACTCGACAGCAGTGAGTACGGGTCATTGTGGTAACAGGAGAGTCACCCACCTAACAGTTTTGAGCACTTCAGAAGAAAATGCTCTCATCATTGCTGGGTTTGATATTAGCAGTGAGATTGGTTTTTACACCGTTTGTCTTCATTTCATGTTGAAATATAATTGTTTTGTGGTTTAATTTAAAAACAACACAAGTTCTTTAGGTTCTTAGATATAGGGTAATTGCAGTGGAAAGAGTTGCTCTTAGCATTTTTTACTGTTTTGTGCTGAAGATAAGTTTGGCAAAGCTGTCTGATGTAAAGAGACATTTAGAAAGTCAGTGATACAGTAAGAATGCTCATATTTGAACAGCACTTTCCAGTGTAAATAGCTTTTTCACATTGCATTTAGTTCTTACAAAAGAATCCTGTGAAATCATTGTTTGTACTGATACATATGTCAGGCCAAGCACTTCCTGTGCTCTAAACCTTCTAGTAGCTTTTCAACTCATGCTGAGGAAAAGCCAGAGGCCTTACAGCCTAGTTGCCCTGCAGAAGGAGTTGTCCCCCCGCCCTCTGCCCTCTGTCTCTGACCTCATTTCCCAATACCTTCCCTCTCCCCCTTCTCCCCATCACTCTGCATTAGCTGCTCTGGCTTTCTTACTGTTCCTGCAACAAGCCAGGCATGTTCCTACTTTGGGGCCATTGCTCATGCTGTTCCCTATTGGGACCCCAGATGTTACCAGGCTCTCTCTCTCACTTCCTTTCAGTCTTTGTTCTAGCATTATGCTTTCGAGTGAGTCCTTCCCTGACTTCTTTTTGAAACCTTCTTCCTGTGTTATTTTTCTCGGTAGGGCTTATCACCATCTGACTTTTTTTTTTTTTTAATTGTTTATTGTCTTCGGTAGAGTGCAAGCTCCATGATGGCAAGGATTTGTTCAGTGCAGTATGCTGGACACATAGAATAGTGTCCGGCACTTTATAAAAATACGTGTTGAATGACTGGGTGTTGCAGATAAGCAAACCGAAATTCGGAGAACTTAGGTAACCTCCTCAGGTTCACCTCCGTAATAAACCTCTAGTTTCCATCTCTAAAGCTCATGATTTTTACTAGAACATTCTGCCTTTTTAAGAATGCTTAAAAACCTGCATCTAAATCATTTTCTACTTTATGAAATATAATTAGCCCTTATCGCCTTAACAACTTTCCTCGAAGTCATTATTCTGCCTTTGACTCTTTAACAGTCAGCGTGTGTTTGCAAGGTCCCTGGATGGCACAAACGGTTTGCACTAGTCTACCAACCTAAAAGTTGTCGGTTTGAACCCACCAGGCAGCCCTGGCAACCAGCTCCTGTGAAGATCACAGCCAGAAAACCCCTGTGGGGCACAGTTTTACTGTCACACACATGCGGTCACTAGGAGTCGGAACTGACTTGATTGGCAGTGGGTTTTTATTTGTTTGGATCGAGCATCTGTCTCCCCAGCTTGGTCAAAAAGACCTGTAGTCTGTTGTCAGCAGCAGAAAAAGCAAACACATATATTGTTGTCCTTTTTTTTTTTTAAAGAAAGCTAGTAAATATTTTGACTTGTATTATCTGTCCTTTATAGAGAAAAGTGGTTAGACTTTTCTCATTCTGCTTGATTTATGTATTTTGCATTTCACAGTGTTGTTGTGTGCCGTTGAGTTGATTCCGACTCATAGCAACCCTATAGAGCAGAGTAGAACTGCCTCATAGGGTTTCCAAGGAGCGGCTGGTGGATTCAAACTGCTGACCTTTTGGTTAGCAGCCATAGCTCTTAACCGCTGCACCACCAGAGCTCCTTGACCAAGATAAAAACAAACGAAACCATTGCCGTCAAGTTAATTCCCACTTATACTGACCCTATGAGAAAGAGTAGAACTGCCCTGTAGGGTTTCCAGAGTGCAGCTGGTGGATTCAAACCGCTAACCGTTTGGTTAGCAGCCGATCTCTTAACCACTGTGCCACCAGGGCTCCTGACCAAGGTAGGAGGCCTCAATCATACAATTTTTTGAAGGCTAAAAGTGCATAAAATTGGAGTAAATGAATTTGCTAATTGTTTTATTCTGCCATCTGGAATCTTTTAGAAAATCATGACAATTTTTTTTTCCTGAATGTTTTAGGAATTGAGATGTATAGTAAATTAACTAGCATGGCACTTTACAGGTTAAGGCAAGGAAAGCTTTTTGTTAGTTGGCACCATGTACTGTAAATGAGTACACTCTCCAAGATGTACAACCCTCCACAATGAGTGTAATGTTAAAGAAGACAAAACTAAACCTTCATTAACTTTCCTGAGCATGGTATTCTTTGATGATTGCTTCCCCCGCCCCGCTCAATTTTAGGAAGAACCAAAATAATGAGATCTGCACTGAGTGAGTTAATGTAATACAAAACAGTTTACAGATTTTCAAACTAAAATTGGCAATGAATAAAATAATTTTTTTTAAGTCATTAAGAAATCCTTGCCTTTGCTGAGTATGGTAAAGGTGGTTCACAAGAATAACTTCATACAAGTGTATATTATATAGTTTACAGAAAGAACTAATACCTTGCATTATGCCTGGAGATCTTCTAACCAGCAGTTTTACCTAGGTTCAAAATGATACATAGTTGACCTTCATAATCACAGATGCCCAACAGTATTTGTTCATACCATTCTTAGGGATAACATTTGACTTCAAGTCTGGTTACTTGGGTGTTTGTCATCTCTCTCCTGCTAGATTGCTGGGTCCTCAGGAATGAGGATGAGAGCTTACTCACGTCTGTATTTTTCACAAGGCTAATTATTTACATGTACTAACTGCTTACTATAAATATTTAAATGGTTTATTAGGGGAGAATAGTCTTCTGAGTTGTCAAATTGTAAATTAGCCTTGCTGGTGCAGTGGTTAAGAAATCGGCTGCTAACCGAAAGGTCAGCAGTTCAGATCCACCAGCCGCTCCTCGGAAAACCTATGGGGGAATTCTACTCTGTCCTATAGGGTCCCTATGAGTCAGAATCAACTCAAAGGCAACAAGTGTGTGTATGTATGTGTAAGTTAGGGTCAGTATAATTTATGCTATAGTCTCTGGGTTAATGTACCCAGCTGTTAACCAAAAGGTTGGAGGTTCAAGTCCATCCAGAGGTGCCTTGGAAGAAAGGCCTTGCGATCTACTTCTGAAAAAAATCAGCCATTGAAAATCCTATGGTGCACAGTTCTACTCCAACACACATGGGATTGTCATGAGTCAGGGTCGACTTTTTGCCCACTGGTACTGGCATAATTTGTGTTAAACTGTTTTACTTGAAAAATTTGAAAGTTATTGATCAGTCAAATGTCATGTGTATCACCTTTCCTACATTCTTTATTTAAAATTTTTTTATTGCTGTAGTTTAAATGAAGTTTACGTTTCAAATTAGTCTCCTGTTCAAAAATTTATGTGACCCTAATTGCCCTCCCCATACTGTGACAGCATACCCCTCCTTTCCACCCCTAATTCCCGGTGTCCAATCAACCAGCTCCTAACCCTCTCTGCCTTCCCATCTCATCTCTGGAGAGAAGCTGCCCATTTAGTCACTTGTATCTACTTGAGCTAAGAGGCACAATCCTCACGAGTATCACTTTATGTCCCACAGTCCAGTCCAATCCCTGCCTGAAGAGTTTGCCTCGGAAATTGTTTTAGTTCTGGGCTGATAGAGAATCCAGGGGCCATGATTTCTGGGGTTCCTCCAGTCTCAGTCAGACCATTAAGTCTGATCTTCTTACTAGAATTTGAGTTCTGCACCCCACCTTTCTCCTGCTCCATCTGGGACTCTGTTGTGTTCCCTGTCAGGGCA